GGAAAGAGTCATAAGACAGAGAAACAGGCTTCACAGCAAGGCCCTAAGAGCTGTGCCCGGCCTGCAGCGTGGACACGTGCGGACTGGCACCCAACTCTCTGCTTCTCCTCAGTGTTGGCAGCAGGGAAAAGGGGGCTACAAGAACCCCAGAGGGAGAAAAGGGAGGCCCTGGCAACAACACCTCTCCTCTGAGCCCTGGCAGTTTTTCCTTGTCAGCTTTTCCCTCAGTTTCATGGTGGAAAACTCCCTGACGCCCTCTGATCTTTTCTGTCACGGTTCCCTGGATTTCTGTCCAGTTTTACCAGTCCCTTCTTGACAAAGCAGAGCATGAAACTATGCAGCACTTCCAGTGTGCTCCACCAAGGCTTTGCAGAGAGGAACGAGTCTTGCTCTAGCCCTACTGAGCTATGACTCCATGCCCTGACCCTCACCTTACCCTGTTCCATCTGCGTATTTCCAGACAGTGTGCATACACACAAATATGGGGTTGGATAAAACACTACTTGGTCCCATGGGATGGTCTTTGTAAAGGAACCTGCAGGAGCTTAACCCAGGTCTTGGGGACACTGGTCTTTTATCCTTTCTGAAATATCCCACCTGCTGAGGCCAGCTCAGTTGGTCTCAGAGGGTTTCATCCATTAGCGTCACCTTCCCCCTGCCAAAACCCAGCCCAAGCACTTGCTCTGTGTGGAAAGGAGACATCCTGGTCCCCGAGTCCTGACCCCAAACATGGTTCCAGAAGGGAATCAAACTCCAAGCTGGTAGCAGGACACAGGCACAGCATATCCTTCACCAAGTGCCAAGTTTTATTTTAAGCTTAGAAACTACTGTTTTGTCCAAAACAAGGTATCTCTGTGCCATTTGCAGCCCTCTGTCTATGTGAATGGGCTGGGGGTGACATTTGCTTTTCTCTATCTCTGGTCACCTGCCAGGGAAGTTTGTTCTTAATTTCCTACACAAATCCTATCCTTTCCTCAAAGAGCAAATAGATGTAATCAGAAAACCTAGTCACAGACATGGGCTGTCTCACAGACAGGAGACACCTGAGGACCCACAGAGGATCCCCTCCATCCCTAGCCCCAGGGCACCACAGCAGAGCTCCCGATCCAGCCTCTAAGCTCGGGTCCCACTCCAAGCTGACACAGCCACTGTCAAGGGAGGGGATTGCTGAGGTGAAGTTATTCCTAAACTAAAAAAATACCCTTCTCCATGACTACTGAGTGCTCCAGAGGCTGAAGACGATGTGTGAGCACCAGTTCTCCGTCTCCAGCTTGGGGCCACACACTCATTGCCTGTCCTGGCTCCAGTCTCTTCCCAGCGGGGACAGCAACTACCCCAGCAATGCCCAGGACCAATGTGCCCATCACCACGGCTCACCCTGCCACCTGGGGCACTGATCCCCACTGTGCCTCCCAGGACACTCGGGTCCCACAGATAAACAAGACACCTCCCTCTGCCTCGTCTCAGGCTCCACCCTTCCTTCCTTCCTTCCTTCCTGAGGAGGGGCTGCCCTCCTCCTCGGATACCTTGTAGGCTTTTCCTATCCTTCACCAGCTCCCCAGAGTGTCTCCTGGCAGCATCCCTGGCCTTGTGCCTAGCCTACCTCCCAGGCACCTCCCTGGTACATGAAAGCATGTGATCCACCACAGTGGCATGGGAGCAGTTGAGCACCCTCCTTCTTCCCCCTAAGCTCTCCCAGTGCAGTAGGAAGCTTGTCCTGGCACTGGTGGGGGACAGGACATTTGGGGGGCCAGGCAGAAGAGTGGCAGTGGATAGATGCCTGCGCACACCAGTGCAGGGAGAGGAGAAACAGCTGATTGCTCTCCAGGGAGCCCTCACTACCCATACATTGTCCAGTGGTGGCAGAAAGAGGAGGAAACCTGTAGGAGAGCAAAAGGAAACTGTGGAGGACTTGATCCATAAGATAACCAAAAAAGCAGTCAGCCTTCGCAAGGTGTGAGTCCTCGGGAAAGCAGGGAGAACTGTGCTGCTTTGGCGCTGCCCAGCTCTGGAGAGCCACAGAGCTGTGACCTGATTGTCACCACTGGATGCAATAGCTTCTGAAGGCAAAGAGCCTTCAGCGCATCACACTGAGTGCAAAAGTGTCAGCACACACACACAAGGACAGGTCGTGCCCTGTAAGCCTGCTGGCCTCAGGCTCCCAAGCCAAAACATCAGGCCACTGCTTCTCATGGGGCCCTGCAGCAGCAGTGAAGGGCTGAGAGCGCTCAGCTGCGCTGGAGTCCAAAGTGCTCCTGCAGTCTGAGCCATCCCCACCCTGGAGAGGCTGGTGAACATGTCAGCAACCAGAAAGGAGGCCGAGGTGTTCAGCTGGTGGCGGCTCTCCCCGCGCACCACTTGGAGCAGCAGCATCTGGGTGCAAGGTAGAAAGGGCTCAAGGGGACTTTACTCGTGCAGACAGGCTTTACTAGTTGCACTTACTGCATTTATTAGATTCCTTGAGAAGAGAGAAAACTGCAATGTATCTAGACTGAGACAAGTGTCTGCAGCAATGCACAAGACTTGCAGGGGTTAACATGCCATGACACAGACTTGAGAGCCTCTTGCTATCCCAGCAGGCTATTTTTCGCATTGTAAGGGAATTGCAGTAAAACAGTTTCCTCTTTTCTGACCCCAAACCTTCACCTGGACAAATCATACATGTGCAGGCCACTGCCAAGCTAGCAGGAGGATCATTCCACGGGAAATGTGCGTCTTCTGGAAACCTCTGTTTACAGGAAGGCAAGTGTCATGTATTTCCTCTTTTTCCTGTTCAAACTTCTTTTTTTTTTTTTTTTTCCTCCTGCCTGCCTTGCAACATCCGGGGGCACTAAGGTGCCCCCCTGAGGGGAGAGACCACCTTGGCCCTGAGAAATCCTGGGCTCAGCAGAGCAAGAAGAGGAAGGAAGAGGAAGGCAGCCAGGGAGCAGAGGGCTTCCCAGGACCTCGCAGCAGGGCTGGAGCTGAGCGCAGCCCCCACCAGTGCCCCCTGCCCTGCATGTCCATGACATGACATTATCACTGTCTTTATTGCCCTCTCCTCCCCACATCAGTTATCACATGGATCCAATATCTCACTGCTAGAGAAACCCCAAAACCTTGCTTGGATCAGCATGAGAGAAAATGGGTTCAAGTTAAGGGGTTGACTGCTTTGCATGGGGTCCTTTTGTGGCACTTTGCAGGTGTAAAAAACAACCCAGTATGTAGTCAAGCAGCCTGCCCAGATCCGGCCTCTAAGTGCAGGGTCAGAGAACAAGGTGGAAAGTGAAGTCTAATATACATGTACGATGAAAGATTGACAGTTATTTCATTGTGTACTTCAGTGAGAAAACCACAAAGACAGCCATACTGGAACATGTTTTCCTTCACCACAAATAATTCACGCCAGGTGGAGGGGCCCTCTCAGTGCATGAGGAATCCTGCAATTTGGGGGCTGCACACCTCGAAGAAGATGGTCCTGAAATGACACACAAAAATCCTGTTCTACCAGACAAGCTGCAGCAGCAGGAGGTAAAGTTATTTGTGCAGGGGACCTGCCTAAAGCAAAACAGCAGGGGAACACCTGCCCCAGCCTGAGAGCTCGCCTGAGCAAAGCCACGGCATAATTTGCCTCTCAAGGAGTTTTTCAAAGCAGTTTTTCTTTGCACTTGGGGAATATCTTAGTGGACACTTTGGGCACTTTGGACACAAAGTAATCGCTTTGGGGGGAAGATTCAGGGGCGATTTCAACCATGGCAGTGCACATTAGTAACCGAGCATGGAGCAATCACAGCATGGCCTGGACAGTAACTGCTAAAGTAGATGTCTTGCTTTCCAGCTGCCTAATTTAGGAATATATCACACTATAAACAGCACTTGCCCTAGAAGCTTACAATTTGACTAGACAAGGTGAAAAAAGGTGAGGAAAAGGAAATGTTATTTCAGGCATTTACAGCTCTCCCCTCCTTGTTTCAGTTCTGGGACTTTCAGGAACATAAGACTCCCAGTCTGCACTTTTGGGACCACAGCAGCTAAACACCAAACTCACAGCCACTGCAGCACAGGGACCGATGTGCTAAGGTAGCTCTCGTGAGCCCTTGTCCTCCCCCTGGGAGCACAGGCTGCTGGCTCTGACATCCACTTCCCTTCAGCCCAAGGCTCACCAGGGTGACAAGAAGGGTAGGACGCAGCTGTGCCCCTGGGAATCCAGCGATGCTTCAGCTTTCCACACTTGGAGTCTTCTTGCAGTGAAAATTTTTCTTACAGCTAAGGAAACTGATACATCTACCAGAAATGAAACTGATGCTGACTATGAGTTTTTTTTTTCTCCTCTCTCTTTTTGTTACATCCTCTGCAAGTCGAGAGGGAATTTCCTGCCTCAAATGCAACCTAGAGAAGCCCGTTGCACAGTGGGATGCAGGGATGAGAGGGGAAGAGGCCTAACACAAGAGCTGAGCCCACATCTGGGTGCACACTGCCAGCAGCCGAGACCAAAGGGCTCGTGCAGTACACACCGTGACCCAGGGCATCCTTGCAAGGTGCTGGCCATCCAGCCCCACTAAAAAAAGAACAACTGAAATGGAGACTTTGAGAAAAATAACCCAGTGTTTCTCAAGGCTCCCCAGTGAATGCTGAGAAGCAGCAGAATTATGGCTGCCAGACGAGGGGAGAAGCTGCGGAATAGAAACGTCCGTCCTTTCTCGATGGCCTGCGACAGCGAGATGTTTGTGTAGAGGGGACAGGACCTTTCCAGAGGGCTTATAAGGTTTAGAGCAGAGAACATTAATTTTCAGTTTCCTTTTCTGCACTTTCCTCGGTTTTGGACACCCAAAACAAATGTCACTTGTTTCTTACTTGGGGGCTGGAATCAGTGCTGTTTGCTGCTCAGAATTATGAGCACAAAGAGGGGTGAAGGAAAAAAAAAAAAAAAGGAGGGGGGGAAGCTTCAAATAGATGCTTTCATATTGGAATAAAAGACCCAAGAAAATGGTACATTTACCTGTTCCAGTACTAAGCTAATTAGGTATAAAACTTCAATGCTAATACAGACAATAAACACGAGTTGAAAAACAAAAATGTAGTTTTTTAAAAATAGTGTAGTTATGCCTCTAAAACTTTTCAAGTGCAGACAAAAATAACCACACAACAGCTTTGTAAGCATACAGCAGCGTCTAACAACAGCTTTATAGGGCCCTCTGGACTCTAAGCAGCCACATATTGTGTCAACACGAGGCACTTGTAAAATTAATTATCGGTTATATACATACAAGCACATTCTCTTGCACCTAGAGTATTGAAATCTTGTATTAACTTCCAGTTATTTGCATTCCAAGTTTTGCCCTAGCCTAGGGCTTGAACGGTTGGTTTGAGTGCTTTCCAGGGGATTTTCTTCTTCTTCAAAAGCTTACTGTCACTGGTTGTTTTTATTTCTTACATTTTGGTAACAGTCATTTCTATTGGCCCCAAGCATTTGTTGAACACAAAGAGATAAACTGAGCTTAGAAATGGCCAGTTTGAGACTTTGTTTAAGAACGGAGTTTTCAGGTGGTATTAAACATTTCCCTCATTGCAAATTAGAGTCATTCCTCTGGACCTTGAAACCACAGCACCCAAAGCCCAAGACACATCTGAAAATGCTGGCTACAACTCTGATTACCTCTTGGTCTGAGCTGAAAATGACTTAAAGGAATGTCTCCTCAGGAAGGATATAGAGGAGAAGCCCTAACAAGAGGGGAAAATGGTCTGTGTAATGATTAAAAGGGGACTGTGCCATGCCATAATTATGTCTATAATTAGTCTTGCCCAGAGCACTTGGAATTGCAGCTGTACACGGACATCAGCACTGTAGCTTCCCCCCCACCCCGCTCCAAGCTACTTACAAAAAAATAAGAAAGAAAAAACAAAACAAAACAAACAGCCGCTGGGCGATACAAGAGTATGCTGAACAGTGCTCAAAACCACTGAGTTCTATGTTAGGAGGAGAGGAAGGCACAAACCACACCAGGACTGGAGTAGCGTCTGACAGCAGCAGGGCTAGGGCTGAGATGACAATACTTTGTCCCCAGAACACCTCTGGTTGCTCGCAATGCTATTGAATTCATACTAAGACACCTGCAACAACAGGTTGCCCAACATCTCCCACCATATGAAATCTGGTGCTGTTTGCAGCGTGGGGCCTTTGGGAAACTTGTTGAAAACACTGTAAAGCAACAGACATTTTACAAATTGAGCCCTTCCAGGTCTTCTAGACCAGTTTTTAGCACATCCACCCACAGCTCCTCAGAAGGAATGGCCTGTCTTCCCTTGCTCCTATAAAATGGTCTCTAATCTAGGAGCACCCCAGTGCAGGGCAGAGGAGGTTAGGGAGAGCAGGACCAGCTCCATCCCTCCCCCCAACACTTGGGCTGCCCCAGCTCTTCAACCCAAGCACTTGCTGTCCTGCCCCTGTGTGGGAGCAGAGCTTGGGCCTACAGATGGCCCTGCCGTTCACTGGGAACATCCCAGGAAGCAACAAGGTGACAAGAGAGCAAGGAAAAGCAGCCATGTGCTGGGGTAGGGGTCCACAGGTCACCTCTTCCCTGGCCTGAGGCTGACTTGGTGTTAGAGAAACAGGCTGCAGGCCCCTTGGTGCATTTTCTTCCCTCCCCGAGGGCGTTTATGGTCTCTGGGTTGGGCTGGCCCTGGACATTGTCCTCCTTGGCTTTCCCACAAACACTCAGTGCCTGCTGAGCACCTCAGGTGCTGCCAGGGCAGCGTTTCAGTGCTGCCTGCAGACACACTGTCCCAGCGCAGCGGGAAGCAATGGGGACAGCACAATAAATCTTCCAGCATTGGAGGAAGGAAGGATGCCTTCTCTTGCATGACAAGAGCTTGGGAACAATCAAATAACAATTAAATAGCAAAGCAACTGTGGAAGGGTAAATTAAATTGCCTTTATATATATATATATATATAACTTTTTTTTTTAACTGTAGCTGGTGCAAATGGCAAGCTGCAGGGGCTTTACCGCAAGAAGGCAATTTGCCCCAGTGGACCTCTGACCTGAGGCGTTTGGTTTGGAGGTGGGGGACAAGGACTAGCGTCCTGGGGAGCTGATCTACGGACAGCTGGGTTGGCTCTCCAGCAACAGCTCCCCTTCCCTCCGCTTTTCTCTTGAGTTTGTAGCAGGACTAGGTCACTCTAGGGCCAGCTCTGAACAGATCTGACCCTGGGCAGCACCCAGCACCTGCTTGTGGTCTCCTCTGGGCCCCTGATCCTGGGGGCAGCTGGAGCCCATAGAGCTGGGCTGGTTTAACCGGTGGAACAGCCCATTTTCTCCTGACAGTGCTGGAGTCAGCAGGAGCCTGGATGGGAGAAAGGCAGGGAGGGACTGGCAATCCCTTGGCAAACACAACCGGAGAGACCC